TTGTATTATGTGATTATTTTTCATGCTCCCAGGCACATTTGCCTGTATCACCTTGGTCTCTGCCATGGCAAATTTTTGAAATTTCAGCAGCAATGACCCTAGGAAAGGTGTATGGGAAAGCAAACTTCAGATCCTCACTCTGTTAGCCTCACTCCACGCAACCTTGCAACCCCCTCATTCCCAGTCCTCCTCTTCCAAGCAGAGATGCTGAACACACACACACAAGGGGCCACGGGGCTGGGTGTGATGCAGAAGAGCACATGGGAACCCTGGAGTCACACAGAGGACTTGCCCGTTTACAGGAGGCGGCCACAATCTCACTGCCACTCAGAAATGTGAGCTGTGTTGGCAGCTTTTCTAGTTTCTCAGAAGGGATTGTGGAAAACTGGATTTTTGTAGGAATTTCTTGTCCTATTTTGTCAAACAAACAACAAAAATCTCTTCAAAATACACTTCTTCAAGCCAGGCTGAGCATGTGGGCCAGCAGAGTGCAGCCTCTGCGCTGGAAAGCCTCCATTCTGCCAGTCCTTGGGCCTGTGTTCGTGCTCACCAGCACCGGCCCCGGGACATTACAGATGGCCCCTCAGCAGCCTGGGGACTGTCCTGTGGTCTCTGTACTTCACAGCTCAAATCTCAGGACCCAACTTTCTGATCTTGTCAACTTGACTACCATTTTTTTTCTCTTATTATGAAAAAAAAAGTTTTCATCGACTGGTGAATAAAATCAGAAATTTATTCAAAAGTTCTGAAATGCATATGACCTGAAACGTACATTGCATGACATTTCCTGGTAATCCCAGCGCTATGTGTTAAGAGATCAAGTTTAGAATTATACCTCATTAACCTCTTTTTCATTTTAGCCATAACATAAAATTCATCCATTTAATGTATTCAGTTCAGTGGGTTTTTTGTATTCACCAAGTTGTGTACCTATCACCAGAATCTGATTTTAGAACATTTTCAACACCACAAAGAGAAACCCAGCACACATTAGCAGTCCCTGCCTCTTCCTGTCCTGTCCCCTGTACCTGACATTCATCTGCTTTCTGTGTGCAGAAACATACCTACTTTGAACATTTTACAGAAATAAAGTCAGATGACTTGTGATCTCTTATGACCCCTTATTTTACTTAACATGATATTTTCAAAGTCCCCCTTGCAGTGCATATATCAGTACTTTTTTTGCCAAATATCATTGTGTTTTATGAATTATCCATTCATTAGTTAGTAGACATTTGGGTCATTGCCAGTTTTTGGCCACTATTAACAATGCTACTATAAACTGTTGTGCGCATACACTTTCGTTTTTCTTGGGCATGTACATAAGAGTGGAATTCCTAGGTCGTATGGTTTTCAAGAAACACAAAGCAATTTCCCAAGTAGCCACACCATTCTACATTCCCATCAGCAATGTGAGAGGGCTCCAGTTCCTCCCCCTCCTTTTCAGCACTTGTTACTGCCTGCCATCTTTTCATTACAGCCATCCTAGAAGGTGCCAGGTGGCATCTCATTGTACTTTTGCTTTGCATTTTCCTGACAATTAATGATGTCAGCCATCTTCTCACATGCTTATTGGCCACTTGGGTATCTTCTTTGGGGAAGTGTCTGTTCAGATCCTTTCCCCATTTTTTATTTGGATATTTGCCTTTTTGTTGCTGAGTTATAAGAGTTCTTTATGGCCTGAGATATGACTCAAGTGGCAGAGCACCTGTCTCACAGTGTGAAACCATTAATTCAAACCCCAGCTACTGCCAAAAAAAAAAAGTTCTTTATGTAGACTAGATTCAAGCCCCTAAAACCACAGGCCACAGTTTTGTCCCCCAAATTTAATAATGCTCAAAATATTCTACTTACTAAGATAGAAAGTTATTCTAATATGTATGAAAAGCAGTGTAAAGAATAAAGTTGTTTTTAAGATGCCTATTTGATTTTCACCAAATTTTGACATATGAAATAGGAAATCTAGTTATTTCTTTTTCTATATTCATATCATTATTTCAGCTAAAACTACCTGTCTGTTAAATCACAGAGACTATTCTGACTTTTTCCTATTTTAATTTTGTCTTAACTATGCCCATGGTTTACTCACAGTATCCAAATATAAATGATAAATATTAGATTGAAAAATACTTCCAACATGGCTTTGCTTCTGCAGAGAGCTCTGGATCACAAGAGGACAGAATTACCTTGCTATATTTCACACTATATACATGTAGGGTCATTTTTTTAAAAATAAAATTATGGCAGACTTTGAATATGAACTGTAAATGAGATCATAGTGTTACATCAATCTGAGTTTCCTGATTTTGAAAATTAGGTTATATTATGTGAACGAATGTTCTTATTCTTAGAAAATTCACACATATGAATTTAGTGATAAGAGGGTGCCTTGTGTCTGGCCTACTCTCCTCAAATCAAAAAAATACTAATGTGTATTTATGGAACTAGAGATAAAACACATGTGGTCAAAGGATGCCAGTTGAGTGAAGGGTACCCTAGAATTCTCTCAAGTATTCTTGCCCATTTTCCTTGAATTTAAAAGTATATCAAAACAAGGGTCAAGCATGGTGGCTCACGTCTATAATCCCAGCTACTCAGGAGGCAGAGATGGGGAGGATCACAGTTCACTGCCAACCCAGCAAAATTAATGAGATCCTATCAATCAGGAAGCTGAGTGTGATAGTGCATGTCTGTAAGTCTACTCTGTAGGAGGCATAGGTAGGAGGGTCACAGTCTGAGATCAACCCCAGGCAAAAACACAAGACCTTACATGAAAAATAACTAAAAGAGAAAAACAATTTGTCTTAACCTATGCCCATGGCTTGTGGGGGTGTGACTCAAGTAGTAGAGTGCTCGCCTACCAAGCACCAGGCCCTGAATTCAAAACCCCAATAGCAGTAGAGGCAGTGTTTCCTGCCTAGCAAGTGTGAGTCCAAGAGTTCAAATCTGAGTACCTCAAAACCCCAGTACTGCCAAAAAAAAAATTTAAATTGCTTTGTGTTTCCTCAAAACCATATGACCTGGGAATTACACGCCTATGTATGTATTAAGTCTAGACAACATAAATAACTTTTTTTTTTTTTTAGTAGTACTGGTGTTCGAACTCATGGCATCATGCTTGTGAGGCAGGCACTCTAGCTCTGGAGCCATGCCATCAAGCAGTAAAACACAGGCTTAACATTCATGAGTACCTGGATTCAATCCCCAGATCTCCCCCAACAAAGTTACAAAATAAATAAAATTTAAATAAATTTTTAAAACACTAAATTAAAAAATAAATAAAAACTGAGCAAGAAAAAGCATTTGTGGAATATTCTTGGCTTTATACACACACACACACACACACACACACACACACACACAAAACTTAATATTAAGGAAAGAAATGAATTTAAAAAATCATAAGTAAAAATGCAGGCAGAGGAAACAAATTTTGAACCTTATCAGATAAATGTTTACAAAATAACTCAAGAAGCCATTAGAGATTTTCTCAATTATATGAAATGTTAACCCCAAAAACCAGAATAAAAATGGAAATTTCCATATTTCAGAACATTTTGTTTCTTTCCGTGGTGTTTAAGTGGATACAGCATTTATCTCTCTCAAGGCTTACCCAGGCAGGATCATTTTAAAACCGCAAGAGGCAAGAACACCCCTTCACAGTTGGGAGGCAAAAACCAGTCCACACCCACCTACTGTGTCCTTGTTTCTAATGCAAAGAGTAAAATACCCTGAGCAAAGTCGGCTGCCACTGACTGCCTCTTAAAGCAGCAGCCCTTGAAAGCCAGTGCTTTACTTCACCCCATAAAGCCGAGGGCTCAAACCATAAGTCAACAGCCTTACAAAGAAAGAAGTCACATTGACTCTGCTCTGGAAGGTCCATTGGAATAGACTGTTTCCCATGCTGCATAACCCTTCTTAGGTTTTTGAAAAGCAACAGGACTTCTTTTTACCATGTCCAAAATTAGAAAATACATCAAGCTAATTATTTTTTTGGCAATGCCAGGGTTAGAGCCTAGACCTCATGCATGCCAGAACTCTACCACTAAGCTACATCCCCAGTCCCCTATAATTTTCTTAGTATGTCTGTTATAATCAATAAAATTACAAATTAACCTTATTAATATCCACAGAGTTCTTTTGACAAGTTTTTCACTATTGCAAAGGACAGGGTTTCTAAGTATTTCATATATCTTCATTTAATACGTAAATATATATAAAATAGAATCGTGCAGTTCTCAGACTAGGGAAGGACAGAAGGTTATACTGTCCATGGTGGTCTCCCATCCACCTAGCCTAGGCAAGAGTCTCAGAGGATGACTTTAGACAAGAAGTTTTCAGAAGAGCTCAGCTCTTCTCTGAGCCCTTAAGGGATCAAGGGACATGTGACTCATAAGAGAAGTGAGAGCTACCTGCCCTCAGCTCTACAGCTCCAGGGAAGACCACAGGCCCCGTGTGAATTCCTTCCACTCCACTAGTCAGCTGTCACCACGAAAACATTTGGGATGAGGAGGATCCCTGACTTGGGGGGATGGGAGGAGAATCCTCAACTCACAGGCTCTTGAAATCCATGATGAAAAGCATTTTGAAGGGTTTCATAAGAAAGGGAGAGGAAAAGGGAAAGGAACCCATAAGTCAACTTTCACAAATGCCGTGAAATGTCTCATACACTGAGGTAGAAAAAGAAAACGCTGTTATCACAATGAAATCCTCATATTATTAATGTATGATAAATAAAAAATTAAAAGAAAAAGAAAACACGCTGTGAAAACCAGATTTGGAGGGAGTGGGGAGGAGCAGTACTGGGTTTTGAACTCAGGGCCTCACACTTGCCACTCCCCAAATTTTTAAAACTCAAATGATCACATCTTCAGGTATGGCTCTCAGAAAATTGTTTCAGCCCCAAAACCACCCACCTCAGCCTCTTTAGCCCACTTTGGAGGTACCTTTGGATCCGGTTCTAGTGCCCCGGACTCATTTGTTGGTCTTTGTTCTTGCAGTAAAGGGTTACCTTCCAGTTCAACTTTTACCGTGGAAGAAGGGACCATCTACTTAACGGCTGAGCCAACACCCTGGAAATGCAGGATGATAATACCTCTGTGCTGGACGTCTATTTAGTAAGTCATCTTTTGTTTCTCTCCCTCCTCTCTGGTTAGCAAATGGATTAAGGCCCTGGCTTACGCAAGAACAAATTCTATAAAACCAGGCATGCAAGGTTTTAAAAGAAGTAATGGCACCCTGTCGCTTCTGTAAGAGTTTCTTTTCACAATCTACGTCTCCCCACAATTCATGTAGACCCTTGCCCAAAAGTGTATCCGGGTCAAAACTGTATCACTATGGATAAGCAGGGAACAGATCCCCCAAGATGAAAGCAAAGTGGGACTCCTCCTTGGCGTTCATCCCACAAATAATGCCTTCCCTTGACTCACCTGTGCCCCTTGCATTTGAATTCTCTTTTTATTGCTTATTGCCTTCTTGATAAGTTACTAGGCTACAAGGCACAGAGCTGAGCAGCGGAGACCACAAATTCAGCATGAAAGAATTTTGACTGACCCCCTACTGGGTTGTCACTATCCCCCAGCTGTTTGATGTGAGCAGAACTTCCCTGACCATATGTCTTTATTTGCCAAAAGAGGAAAATATTGCCTTCCCTGCCTGTCTCCCACGGCTGCTTTGAGGCTCACAAGGGATCAGGTATGAGGACCTCCTTCAATGCCTGTCAGATTACCTATGTGTCTTTAATTGGATTGTTAGTGATGCAAGAAAGGTGTCTTGGTGGGTTAATTCTTTTTGATCTAACCTTTTCTGTAGTTCCTGGTCCCCTTCTCCTATTGGCCTCAGTTGCTTTTAAGGTATCTGCTTTAGTTTCTCTGCATTGAGGGCACAAGTGCTAGCTAATTTTTTAGGTGTCTTACCTATCCTCACCCCTTCCTTGTGTGCTAAAGCTTTTATCATGTGCTCAAAGTCCAATCCCCTTTCTATACAAGAATTTTTAAACCTGTTGAAATCACCATAAGAAGGGGATTAAGGTAGAAAGGAGAAAAATAGAGGGGGTGAGCCAATTGGGGTTATAATACATATATACATGGAAATGTCACAAGGAAAGTCATTTTTTTTTTTTTTTTTTTTTTTTTTTTTTGAAATGAAATAATTTTATTTGGTGAAGAGGTGAGGAAGTTTTAATAGATGCTGAGGATATTCACTGCCAATTTATGTTCTTAAAGCACCCTCTTCTTTTTTTTTTTTTTTTTTTTTTTCATTTTTCTTTTATTATTCATATGTGCATACAAGGCTTGGTTCATTTCTCCCCCCTGCCCCCACCCCCTCCCTTACCACCCACTCCACCCCCTCCCTCCCCCCTCAATACCCAGCAGAAACTATTTTGCCCTTATCTCTAATTTTGTTGTAGAGAGAGTATAAGCAATAATAGGAAGGAACAAGGGGTTTTGCTGGTTGAGATAAGGATAGCTATACAGGGCATTGACTCACATTGATTTCCTGTGTGGGTGTTACCTTCTAGGTTAATTCTTTTTGATCTAACCTTTTCTCTAGTTCCTGGTCCCTTTTCCTATTGGCCTCAGTTGCTTTAAGGTATCTGCTTTAGTTTCTCTGCGTTAAGGGCAACAAATGCTAGCTAGTTTTTTAGGTGTCTTACCTATCCTCACCCCTCCTTGTGTGCTCTCGCTTTTATCATGTGCTCATAGTCCAATCCCCTTGTTGTGTTTGCCCTTGATCTAATGTCCACATATGAGGGAGAACATACGATTTTTGGTCTTTTGGAGCCAGGCTAACCTCACTCAGAATGATGTTCTCCAATTCCATCCATTTACCAGCGAATGATAACATTTCGTTCTTCTTCATGGCTGCATAAAATTCCATTGTGTATAGATACCACATTTTCTAATCCATTCGTCAGTGCTGGGACAGGAAAGTCATTTTGTAGCTATCTTAAGCAAGCAAAATGACTTTGTTTCAAAAACAGAGAATAAGAAGGTAAAATAAGTCCTGTCTGGGGTGGCACCAGTGGAAGGGGGGAGGATATAAGGAAAGGGTATAGGAGAGTGAATGTAGTGGAAATAGTATGTACTCATGAAAATGGAAAAATGAGACCTGTTGAAACTACTCCAGGAATGGGGTAGGGGGATAAAGGAGAATGATGGAGGGGGTGAATTCAACTGTGATATATTGTAAGAACTTTTGTAAATGTCATAATGTACCCCAGTCCAATAATATGATAATAAAGAAAATTTAATTAAAAAAACTAAAAATAAAACACCTTAGAAAAAGTAAGCTATAGCATGGTCACAAATTCTTACCAGAAGCTTACTTCTCTACCACATTCCCCTCCCCCATATCCAACCAGGAAAATAAGGAAATGGGGGAAAAAATTAAAGGGTTTTTTTTGGTTTGGTTTGTTTTTTCTTTTTTGCAGTACTGGGGTTTGAACTCGGGGATGACACCTTGAATCACTCCATCATCCCATTTTTGTGATGGGTTTTTCCAAGAGTGTCTCCAGAACTATCTGCCCAAGCTGGCTTTGAACCGTGATCCTCTTGATAATCTGCCTCCAGAGTTACTAGGATTATAGGCACCAGCCACCAGCACTCAGCTTGAAGTTTTTTTGGTTTTTTGTTTGTTTGGTGTTCCATGTTTTTGGTTTTGCTTTTTGCTTTGTTGTTGTTCCAATAGTAAGTTGGGTTCATGTGGAAATAGACATCAGGAAAGCATTCCAAAAAAGAGGCCACATGAATCTCCTGTTCATGATCCAAGGGTTCAGACCACTTTCAAAAACCAGATTTACACTAGCCAGGGAACTGTGATAGTCCTTCAGGGACTGTAAAACCACAAGGTGGTTAAATGGCTTTGTTGGTGCCTTTCCTTATCTGTCATCCTGCTGGTAGGAAGATTGTCTTAATCATTTTGCTCTTTCCTCCTTGACATTATCAATTTCATTTATAGTAATACTGCCATTTATTTTGTTTTATTAGTGTCTTGCTTCACTGCTTTCTTATGTGTCTTTAATCCTTTGACATTGAAAAGCTAAGCATTTCAGCAAAGAATAATGCTTGTCTCAGAAGCCACAGGGAAAAGTCACAGAATTAATTGTTGCTGTATTGTGAGCCCTTGAAGACCAGTTAGAAATAAAGACATCAAGGATCACAGATGAGTTTGTAACTGAAAATGACAGTGGGAGTGGCCAACTGGCTGGCATGGTCATCTGGTCAGTCTTCCAGTACAGTTTATTACCATTCAGAAGGAAGGAAGGAAAAGGCAGAGAGCAGGCAAAATCAGCAGTTCAGTTTCTCACCAAGCTTAGGCAAAAACTGATCTATCCTAATTCTTTTTTTTTTTTTTAACTAAAAACAGTAAGCCATGAAGCATTTTTTGAGAGTTTCATACACTGTCCTAAACACATTTTATATATAAATATAAATATATTAACTCATTTCATCCTCACAACAATTTGCCCTAAGTTATGCATCCAGGAATCCATAAGAGCTGGATTCAAGCCAGGAGGGACTAAGCAAAAGCCAACAAACACTCTTACTTGTTTAACTCTGCTGTCTAGATTCAAAATCATGCTGACCTTATAAGACACTCATTAGACCCAGAGGGCTGGAGAGTAGCTCCACGGTAGAGTGCTCGCCTAGAATGTGCAAGGCCCTAGTTTGAACCCTAACATGGCCACACTTCAAATCCAGCTCCTTATGCTCTGTTGCCTACCCTTGAACCTGTGGAGCACCTTTCACTGTTACTGACCATTGATGGGAGCCCCACCTCCATCTCTCTGGACACATGCTCCCAATGAAGGTGAGAGATGGATTCAGAAAGGAAGGAGTGTGGGGTTTTCTGTTGCAAAGACTTTTTCATAAATTTCTACTTTTAGGGCTAGGGATGTAGCTCAGTTGTAGAGCACTTGCCAAGCTTTTGTGAGGCCCTGGATTTGATCCTCAGCCCCTCAGGAAAAAAAAAAAAAAATTTTTTTGTTCCTTTCTGGTTACTTTTTTTTTTTTAACATTCTAATATAGCAGTTGTCAAACTTCTGATCTCAGGACCCCAATACAGTCTTAAAAATAATCAAGGACCCCAAAGAATTAAAGCTGAGAGGACTGGCAGTGTGGCTCAAGTGGTAGAACACCTGCCTAGCAAGCCTCATACTGAGGCTGAGTTCAAACCCCAGTACCATCAAAAAAAAAAATATATATATATATATTTTTTTTTTTAAGGCTGAGAAAAAATATTAAATACTTATTCATTTAAAATAGTAAAAATCATATTAATTTAAATTTCACCTTTAATTAATTTTTCACCTCTTTTTAATTTTTCAAAACAAAAATAAATTTAGTGAAAAAAGATTATTTTACATTTTTGGAAATCCCTAATCACTGGCTGAAATAGAAGAAGTTGGGTTCTCATATTTATTTCTGCATCTATTTGTGTTTTTACTTTTTCAAACAGAGTGTCATTACATAGCCCAGGCTGCCTCAGTCTCCAAAGGCTGGGATTATAGTGTGAACCAGCACACCTGCTTATTTCTGCATGGGTCTTTGCAATAGAAAAATGAAGCCATCATTTTGCTTCTGGAAACTCCATGTTCATACAAGAGAGATTGAGAATAAAAAGGCAGGTAACATGTTGGTGTTAGGAGGAAAAAAGTTTGACTTCATGGCCCACACAGTTTTTTAACTTAGCCTCTTCACCTATTACAAAACCAAATGAGACGTAAATTAGAGAATACACACCTGGAGTCCATGCCTATCTCTGCTTCTCGTTAATCATTGACCTTGAATTCATCAGTGTCTTTGGACCTCAGAGTTCTCATCTCTAAAATGGATTACAGAATCAACTCTGAGACCTCTGCCAGCTCTGAAAGGCTATGGTTCATTCTAAATTACAAAGAGTTGCAGAAGTAACATTTTCCAAAGAAGACACAGTTGTTTCTCCAGATGTTGCTGCTCCATCACTCCCTCTACCATAAACCTGCGCAGTATTTAAATTTAAACTTGAAGGCAATGCATCTAGAATGCTCTGCACCATTAACTTGCAATTCCAGGGTGTGTTTCCATGCTGGAGATTTTTATTCTTTATTTTGTATGCTTTCCAGATTTGAAAGGAT